ATGTCATATGTGAGTAGGGCTAGCAAAATTTTTTGAAAAATTATATTTGACGAGAGGGAGAGAGAAAGGGGTGGAGACAAAAATGACAACGGCCTTAGCGTGATAACCTTAAAATAATCAAACAACATCAACCTCAACTTTTACCAGCCTTAGACGTTTTTTTGTTTAAAGGAAATTCTCTAATCTCTCGTTTTATTCTTCTCTCTCTCCTTGTCTTATCGTGTGGCTTTTAATGGGATGTTGTTATTTGTCCCACTTTAAGGTATAAAATAACTTCAAAATTTAAAAAAATTGAAAAAGTCAATAATTTTATAGGTAGCGTAAATATGACTATTTATACCACCATAATCAACAATTAAACATGGCATACGATTCTCAATAGTCAAATAACCGACTTTGTAGTGGCATTAGCAATTCATTTACTATCAGCAACATCAATAATATTATAATAACTTAGGGATGAAAATTGAAAACTGAGTATGACCAACACTCATAGACGAATTCTACAATTACTTTATAATTTTGGAATGAAAATATAATTTCCTTTTATTTTTTATTTTAATTTAGTTGATATATTTTAATTGTATTAATTGTTGGTATATTTGGTATTTAAAAATTTTATATTTGCTCTGGAGTGTTAATTTGTTCCGAATGTGAATTTTAATATATGAAATTATATTTTGATTAATTTATAAAATTATATTTTATAATTCAAAAATTATTTTATTTTATTATTTATTTTTATTTATATTTTAAATTAAAATTTTAAATTATAATGTTAAAATTATTAATTATAAAAAAAAAAAAATAGGTGATGTGTAAGAGTGTAACGCTCTCTTAATTTTATATCATGAATGTGTTCTTATGTGATCCTAAGTACATATATATTTTGCAAGACATTTTGTTAATCAAATACGAAGTAATTTCATTTTTGCATGATTTTAGATAGTGTAGAGCAAGCAAACTCGTAGAGGTCTGGGCTCCACAGTATCACAGTTTACAATGTTTAGAAATCAAATGTAATTATTATTATGCGAATATATAGTACAATACAACATCTCAACATGAATTACTTTTATTAATTTAACACCCTTGATATTTATTTATTTATTTTTATAGCAAGCTATGAGTATGTTTGGTTCACACATGGGAATTGAAATCGGAATGGGTATCAAATACTTGTTAATTGTAATGGATTTTGGTGGAAGTATTTACTAGTTAACATGTTTGGTAGTAGGGTGAGATGAGAATGGTTACTACTTACTAATAATAGTGTTTGAGAATGAATAGGGGAATGAAACTCTTCTTTTATTTGAGTATGTGTTTTTCAATTGATGGGGTATTCAAAACCCATAGTAGTGTTATAAAAACTTATCAACCAAACAGTAACAATCACTTTCATACACATTCCTATGAGCAAAACCCATCAACCAAACACACCCTAAGTTTTAATGATTTGTTAGATAGTATTTTAGACTACATGATCCCACTTTCTAAACTCATGAGTGTTTATAAACATATGACTCTCAATCTGCAATGATTTTAAAAGCTTAATATGTATTTGTAATGATAATAATTATGCAAAAACGAATTATTGTTATTATAAAGTTTAAGCAAAAATTTGTGTGAAATCATTTTACGGGTCTCAATTCATGAGACAAACTAAATCTTTGATTAATGATGTTAACGATATGACTTATTAATCAAATATTTAACCCATTAATCAAAAATTACTTTTTTTTTTCTTTTTTTCTTTTTTTTTTGTTTAAATTAAATAAATTTAAACTTGTGTGTATGCGACAAAGCTTTGGGACAACAACCTCAAAATAAGTTTGATAGAAATTTGACTGAATTCGTCTCATCTTATGCTATAAAGTATAAATTATTCTAATTTAAGATGCTATAATTCATTGGTGTTGGAATACTATTTGTCAACAATCATAAAATTATATCTAATTACGATAATCTTGAATTGGGGCCGGGTTTCATTAATGATATTACTTTTTGTATAACTGCAGACGTGTTCATAATGCGTGTCTTAACGAACATTATAATTATAACATTATTCATTAAACGTTATTACATATGTAGCCGTCAATAATAATGTGACTATGTTTTACAAAACATTTAATATTAAATGTCTCACAAAATGGTGGATGAGTGAAGCAGAGAGAGTGTTGGGAAAAGTGGACCCTCTTTTATGATTCTGTGAGCCATACTCATGGCAAGTTGGCAACAGAGACCAGCATAACCAAACTGAGAAGAGAGAGAGAGAAGGGATGCGCTTTTACACTTACCCTTTTAAGCTTTTACACTTTTACCTAGGTTCTCATCTTTTCCCCATCTTTTGACTGCAACCCCAACAAAGCCCAAGCTTGTACAGTGTACAAGTAGTTTACCAGAAAACGACAGCAATTAATGATAATAAAAACAACAATAATGATAACACATCTGATGCCAACTCTAGTGAAGTGATTTTTGTATGAAAGACAACACTAATTATATATATATATATATATATATATATATATATATATATATATAATTATAAGAGTTAATTAGTCTATTGGCTATAGCGAAATTATAAAATTCGTCTTTGATTATTACTTTTTTTTTTATCTAATTAAGTCTTTAAACTTTAAAAATCTTAACTAATTTAGTCCTCCGTTTGTTTAGTGTCAGACGTCTATTTACTCATGATTAAATTATTAATTTTACAATAATCAATGGATCATTTGATAATAAACTCTTCAATTTAATAAAAGTGAAAATGGTGCATGCGATGATCGAAATGGTTTCTTAACTATAACAAAATTACCATATTGGTCCCAATAAATGGATGTCTGAAGGCTAATTGGTCAAAATTTTTAAAGTTTAGAGACTTAATTAGACAAAAAAAAATAGTCAAAGATTCAATTGATAATTTCACTATAGTCAATAGACCATTTTAGTAATTAACTCTAATTATAATTATACATCTTAAATCTAGAACTTTCCTACTAGTTTACAATGTAGTTAAAAACTAGAACTTATTAAAAGAGTTAATTCCAGCAATGGTCCTCCGACTATATTGATTTTCCAAAATTAGTTTTCGACTTTTATTTTGGACACTTTAGGTCCCTTGACTTTCAATTTCTTTTCAATTGAGGTCTTTCGTCAGAAATACGACTAATTGAACTTTAAATGAAGGTGTAAACTCGTCCTCTCACCTGCCTATGTATTATTCTTCGTATTTCTCCCTTGTATACGTGATATATATATGAAGATAATCTCAGTCAAAGCCTTAGAATGTTCCTCGTCGTTCCCCATTTGCTGACTACTCGTGTGTGTGTTCCTCCATTATTGAGATGTTTATAGTGTATAGTAGTGAGATATGAAGGGAGAAATACGAAGAATAATACATAGGCAGGTGAAAGGTAGCGTATATACTTTTTATTTCTTACAATAAATTTTTGTGGAGACATAAAAGGTAGCGAATATACTTGCATATGTTTCTAGAGAATTCAGGAAATTTTTTAATTTTTTATTTTATAAATATTTAGAAATGGATTATATTTTAATTAAGTAAAAGTGTTATACATCTACAACGTGAAATGACTTTACATAAGATCTACTTTTAACGAATAATTTTTAGGTAAGACCATACATTGACAACCTCTTTAATTCGGTTTGATTTTTATTATTTATTTATTTTTGTTATAAGTGCATGCATAAGCAAGCCACACCCTCGATTATCAATTGATGATTAGTATTTAAAAAAAAATAAAATAAAATGACAAGTGAATTGAAGGTCAAATACGTCACTCAACTGCACATCAAACTGCAATTAGGACATTGAAATAAAAAAAAATGCAATTGAGTCATTGAACAACACAAAAACATGCAATTTAGCCCAAAATGACTTTTTACCTTATAGAGCAAGTTACCGATTTTAAAATCATTTTTTAAAATTATTTTTAATAAATAAATAATTGATTTAAAAAAAAAACAGAAACTGCCGGCCGGAGACAATTCATCTGCTATATTGCATTTTTTTTAGTTCAATGGCCTAATTAAAATTTCAGTTAACGGTTAATTTAGTTCGAAAGTGTCGATTAACCGAAGTTATATATATATATAATGTTAAATGTAACTATGTAACCCTACTGCTCTCATCTCCTAATGAAATTAGAAATCAAAATTATTATTATATGTATTATTTTAATTAGATTTATTATTATATGTGTTATTTTTTAGGATGTTAAATTTTAGCTTAAAAAAGTTCGGTTAATAGAAAAAAAAAATCAGTTCAGTTAATTCGGTAACACAAACTTTAGTTCGGTTAACGGTTAAAGGTTTAAAAATTTTGATTAACCGAACGAACACCCCTACTACTCATCATGTATAAAATGAGGGAATTATGAAAAAAAAAAAAAACTTAATATAATTTTAATTCATGGGAGATGAATAAACTATGAGTTTAAATTTTATTGTTTAGTTGGTGAAAATAAAATTACTAAAAATTTCAATTTTAATATTTGGTATGTATGTCAATTGAACGTGGATAAATAGTACATTATAAAAATTAAAATGTTCATGTGTAATAATGAAAATAGTATAATAAATCAAAAGGAAATAAATTGTATAATAATAATAACATTATTATTATTATTATTATTATTATAAATTAAAATGGATTATATGTATAAAGTTTAATAATTAATTTATTATATTATTAAACAAAGAACAAAGTTAGAGTTATAAGTGGAGGAATATTTTATCTAATTTTTCTTCCCACAACTAGTGATTTAAAAAAAAAAAATTACAAATCCTGGAAGCATGGAATTTTTTATTTTTTTTTTTGAAAGGAAAGAAGCATGGAATTTTTAATTCCACAAAGTTAAAGTGTTGTCATTTCATAGAATTTTAATTCTATCGTATCAATCAAATGCAGAAAACTCATAGGATAGATTTCCACATTAGAATTATACCCTCTAAAATGAAATGAATCTACACTGTATATTATTGACCACTCTCGAATCTCGATCTTCTTCTTGTTGGCAATTCAGAATTCAGAGATCATTTAGAGCACTGTTCACTTGTACAGCTTATGAAATATGATTCTGCTTGAAATGTATGAATGAACAACAAAATTAAAACTGAAAAAGTAAACAAGATAGAAGTAACAGATGAGATCTTAGGAATTGAAGCTAGCTAGATCCGGCTGAAATGAGTCCTGGGAGTTGACCATGGAGTATCGTTATCGTATCGCGAAGCAGCATTAGGGTTGATGATTTGATCAAACCCTTGTGGGAACACAGATTGAATCCTGATGGCTGGTTTCCTGGGCGGCAGAACGGGAAGTGGAGCTTCACCTTTCAGCATCCTCGCAGCTTCCCTCATTCTCGGCCTCCTCTCATGATCAGGATGGACACAACACACCCCTACCATCACCACTCTATCCATCTCCTCCCTGTTAAACCGCCCCGAAAGTCTCTGATCCGCCGCCTCTGTGATCCGTCCTTTCTCCCACAAATCCCAAATCCAATCCGTGATGGACACGCCGTGCTCGTCCACCGGCCGTCTCCCCGACGCCACCTCCAGCACCACCACCCCGAAGCTGTACACGTCTGTTTTCACGGTGGGGACGCCGGAAAACGCGTACTCAGGAGCCAGGTACCCCATTGTCCCTGCGGGGACAGTGCTGTCCCGTGTCTTAGAATTGTCAAAAACTTCCGCTAACCCAAAGTCTCCAAGCTTGGCATTGAAATCGCCATCCAGCATTATATTACACGCCTTCACGTCCCTGTGGATAATCTGGGTTTCGCATTCTTCGTGTAGATAAACCAGAGCCGAAGCAACTCCATGAACTATGTTCAGCCTTCTCTCCCATGTGAGGAACTTGTTGAAACCCGCGTGTGAGTGGAGAAGTTTGTCCAGGCTTCCATTAGGCATAAACTCGTACACTAAAACCAGCTCGTTCCTCTCACAGCACCATCCTTGGAGCTGAATCAAGTTCTTGTGTCTTAAGCATCCCACCATTGAAGCAAACTCGGTGCTGAATGGGATATGATGATGAGAAGTGCCCATTTTGCTCCCCTGGGTGAATCTCTTCACTGCAACCACGCCCCCGCCCCGAGACGCCATTGATCCTTCATACACAACAGCTGATGCTCCTTCCCCAACTATTCTCTCCTGATTGAACCCTTCCGTGGCTGATCTTATCTCGTTGAGTGACCATCTTTGGGGCACTCTGTTTCCCTGGAATCTACAGATTTCAGCTTCCTTCTGTTCTCTGTTAGGCCCTTTCCTTGTTAGGCAAACCCAAACAAGCACTATAATTGCGATCACCAAAAATACAGCTGCAGCGGATAAACCACCATAAGGAAGTAGGAGGTTGAGGGATCTTTTGAGTGAACCTGCAGAAGTAGCATTATTTCTCCCAGTGTCGTTATTGTCACCAGAAATGCACATCAAGCAATCCGCTTCGTCCATTGTATTGGTGGAAGAAAGGAATTCAGAAGTCTTGAACTTCCAATGATCAATGGAATAAACAGCTGAGCCTTTCCGATTAGCAGCAGTGAAGCCAATATGCATGAATTCTTCCAAGTAAGTGGAAAGGTCAATCTGGGATTCCAGAATCGGATCAGGAGGCCTAATCTCAGAATTATGCCCAACCCAAATCCTTATCGTCCTGTCTTGATCTATGTATTGAATCCAAGCTGTCATTTCTCTCCCGCTCTTCAGATCCACCCCTCTTGGAATCACGTCAACAGATGCCAAAGGCTTAACGCCATTGAGATCAATCCCAATGTGATTATCATTCAGGTCCTCAAGAAACGGGTCAAAATTAGTATCGAATTCCACAGCCAAGAAAGAATGTTCTGGAAGGCCCATGAACCCATCAGAGCGGCTGAAGGAGGTAGCATCGGAGGTGATCAAAAACGCAAAGCCATCACCGAAGGAGCAAGAAGGGGTGGTGAGGGTGATGGTGAAGGAGAAACTGGAAATAAAAGAAAGAGCGGATTTAGTTGCGGGTTCAAGAAATCGAACTGGGTTTACATACAAAGCTCTGCCAATCCCAGAAAGAGAGGCGGCGGCGGCGGCGGCGGTGCAGTTTTGGGCATGGGTGAGAGCGATGGAGGTGTTAGAGAAACTGGCGTCGCCAATGAGTGTGATATTGGGAGAAGAAAAGGATGGGGTGATGAACATTGCAGGTGAGGTGAAGATGGAGAAGAAAAGGAGAAGAACCCAGGACATATTGATGGAAGATAACCCCATTCAGAAGAGAGTGGGCGGCGAGGGTTCAAAAAAGTTGAAATCTTGATTCTATATTGGCTACTGCAAGACCTTGATTTTCTGCTTGGGATTTCGGAACAGAAGGGGCGGGAAATCTGACAATGCATAAGCGTGAAGCCGGGAACTGTCGCGGCGGAGTGTATCGCCGGAATCTAAAGAGGCGGTTAACCATTTTTTTTATAATAAATTTTTTTTATTAGTGGTTATAAAATGCTTGTGTGTGTGTGTGTGTTTTTTTTTTTTTTTTTTTTTGAGAAAAATACCAAACTTCATTAAGAGTATGTTTTGAAATTGGGATATTTTTCAGGTTTTCAGTAGTTGGATGTACACAAAATTTAGTTAACAAAAAATATTTTTTATTGACGGAACTCACGAAAGAAAATAAAGTCATTTTGGTCAAAGTCATTTTCTGTCAACCACACAATATAGTTTTCGAAGAAAATTAAAGGGATCGTTTACCAACTTGAAAAAATGGAGGATTTTTCAAAAATACGGAGAAATTGAGAAGTGGAAAAAATGAAAAATAGAAAAGTTATTTACTAAATTTCTTTCTCCAATTTTGTTTTCTATCTCTGTTTCTTCCGTTTATGTAGGATTTTGGAGAAAGCAAAATCAGCATTCTCCATTTGGACTTTGGAGAAATGAAAAAAGCGGGTGAACAGTGATTTCTTTGTTTGAGGTTTCAGGGTCAAATTCTTGAGCCAGCTTCTTTTTCACCCTTGCGTATTCCCTTCATTCAGTTATTCACTTATTTGTTCCCCATTATTATTCTCTCTCTCTCTCTTTTTCTTTCTTCCTTTTTTTCCCCATATATTTTCATTCTTCCCCATTTATTATTATTATTATTATTATTATTATTATTAGAAATGTACAAATGCTTCTTATTATTATTATTATTATTATTATTATTATTATAGAAATGTACAAATGCATTATTATTATGATTATTATTATTATTGTTGTTGTTGTTGTTATTATTATTATTATTATTATTATTATTATTATTATCTTTGTTGTAGAAATGTACAAATGTTATATGAGATGATTGTATTTAATAAAATCAGAAAATTAGAGAAAAGAAAAATTAGAGAAATGGGGAATGAAAATTACAAAACTGGAGAAATGGAAAACTGGAAGAATGGAAAAGGAAAACTGGAGAAACGAAAAAATAGAACACTAGAAATGGAAAAACAGATAAATGAAGTAAATGACCCCAAAGCATCTATGATTTTTTGGCAGAAACCACTGTTTCCACTTTCCAGTGGGATGTTTTTTAAAAAATAATAAATAAATAGAATTATATTTTATATTATTATAAATATTTTTATATTCTAAATTGAATAATTAAAATATTTAATTATACAATTATACTCATTTTTTAGAAAATGAACCAATCAACTATTTTCCAGCTAGTAACCTTGTTCTTAATAAATCTCAACATCTCTCCCTTATTTCTACCAACAATCGAGAGCAAACCAAGATAATTTTCACAATTACCAACCACTCTAATCACAATAATATTACACTCATACATTCAAGATTTTTCAAAGTAGAGGAAACATTTGGGCTAAAAGAAATTAAACAAGAGATTTATCAAAGTTAATAAACTGATTAGTGGCTGATACATAAATATCAATAATATTTTTGAAAGTTTGAGCCTAATGGGGATCAGCTTTGAAGAAGAAACAACTGTCATATGCAAATAGGATTGGTGAAGAGAGATCCTTGGTGCATTTCTGGCAATTGCAACCCCATGTAACTCTCCGCGATCCACTACAACAGTAGAGATTAATTTGCTTAGACCTTCAGTAACCAAAATGGACAAATAAGTGGACAATGAGTCACCTTGTCGCAAGTCTCTTAATTTGGGGAATAACATGACCTACTTCATCTCTATTTTTTTTTTAAAAAAAAGTATAATTAACAATGGTAACACTCGGCATAACTAGCTTAATCCACTACTAGAAGAACTCTAACTTGCACAACACAACCTCTAGAAATGGTCATTCAACACGATCATAGGCCTTGCTCATATCAACCTAGCAAGCCACAGAACCATCCCTACCCTTTCTTTTACGTTTGAGAAAATTGTGGATTTCAAAGGCTACAACTACATTATAGCAAGTAAACGCATTGGACAAAAGCTCTTTGGTGCTATGAAATTAACCCATTAAAAAGAGGTTTGAATCTATTGGCTAAGATCTTGGCCATAATTTTGTATAACACATTACAGTGCAATAGGCCTAAGGTCTCCCATACTCTCCGGTTTAGATTTCATTGAAATTAAAACAACATTTGTAGAATTCAATCCTTGGGTAATGATACCATTCTGAATAAAGTTGTTACAAAAGTTAACCACATCTGACCCCAAAACATCTAAATATGTTTGGAAGAAACCCGGTTGAGACCATATGGTCTAAAGGCCTTATCAGAATACATATTGAAAATAGAGGCTTTAACTTCTTCATACGATACAGCCCTAATAAGCCTATTATTATGTTGTTCATAAATTATAGGAGAAAGGCAATGAAGAACATTATCCGGATTAGTAGTGAAAAGTTCTTTGAAGAAGTAGATAATTAAGTCTGACACTTCTAATCTCTGTGCACCCAAACTCCAATAGCATCTTTTAGCTTATCAATTTGATTGATTTTCCTTCTCGTTTTCACCGAGTTGTGAAAGAATTTCGAAAATTTGTATCACCGCCTTTTACCAAAAGGTTTTGGCCCTTTATTTCCAGTATTTGTGTTGCTGGTCTAATAAGGAAATACATTTCTTTTGGACTACAATAAATTCATTAATGCTTCCGGTATCATGCCTGGCTCTAAGGGTTCTCATTTGGTTCATGCAGGCATCAATTTGAGGTTGAAAGTTTCTCACTAGCTGCTTGAATTGCCCCAATTCCATAACTCACGGCTACAAATAGCAAGACGACTAAGATTTGGTAGCCCCTCAGAGCAACTCCAAGAATTTGAGGTAATATAGACACAATACCTTTGTCAAACATACAAAAATCTAACCAACGACCAAGTTATTTTAAAATTAGAGCAAATAAATGCATTATTACAAAATAAATGTATACAAATTTATCATACAATTTGACCCATACATGACTAAATGATCCAAGGATAACAAGAACCAATCGTTATGCCATGGAACCGTGTTAGTGCACCGTTATCTCTCTCTTTTTTTTTTTTTTTTTTTTTTTTTAAATTAATCGCGTGACTTTTCTTCTTCATTTTCACATTTCGCAGTTTCATTTTAATTTGAGGTGAGCAATGATTTCGGACATTCATAAATTATGAATCCATGCCTGCACATTCACTTTGGAACCATGCCTACACATTCCTGTCCGAAACCATGGCTGCTCCTCTGTAGCGCAAGCTTCTTCAACATTCATAAATTATGAATTTTCTGTTATGAGATTATGAATTTACAGTAAATTCATAATCTTATAACAGAAAATTCGTAATTTAATAAAAATGTTTTTCTTTTATGCGATTATGAATTTTCTGTTATGAGATTATGAATTTACAGTACATTCATAATCTCATAACAGAAAATTCATAACTTGACCAAACGCGTGCCGTTAACACCACATTAGCGAATTTATTTTTTTGTTTTTAACGTAAAAATGGCGCCGTTTGGACCCGTGTTCACCATTCATGATGAACACGTTTCCAGAGCATAATTTGCCTAACAAGAACTTAGTATCCCTGTTAACTTCAAATGTATCATGTCAATAAATTTTAATATGGTTTTAAGTTCATAAATTGAGTGTTGACATGTAATTTTGATTATGGTATATTTTAAAGATTGATTTAGTTAAAAATTAGCAAGTATTGTTGTTACTTAAGATATTAATTTTATAAATATGCAATTAATAGATTATGTACTTGCACTTAACTTATTATTCACTTGCATATAACAAATTATATACACGTTCTATCATTGTTATGCGATTATAATGCGTGAATTGTTGGTAAATCAACTTAAAATTAAATGTTCATAAATTGAGTGTTTTACATGTAATCATGATTATGGTATAATTTTAAGAGACATTTGGTTAAAAATTAGTCAATTTTTATTATAAATTTAAGGTATTGAACTATTGATTCTATAAATATATATGTAATTAACATATTATGTATATGTAGTAACAACATTGTTTCTGATTGCGTGAAGAAAATGATGTTACTAAAAAACCATATTTTGTGAATTAGAAACACCGTTATTTTGAACCAGATGTGAATTCTAATCCATGATATAACGATTGAATTAGAAACCCCAATATCTCTCTCTTATTTCTACCAACAATCGAGGGCAAACCAAGATAATTTCCACAATTACCAACCCCTCTAATCCCAATAATATTACACCCATACACTCAAGATTTTTCAAAGTAGAGGAAACATTTGAGCTAAAAGAAATAAGAGATTTATCAAAGTTAATAAACTGACTAGTGGCTAATGCATAAATATCAATAGTATTTGTGAAAGTTTGAGCCTCATGAGGATCAACTTTGAAGAAGAAACAGTTGTCATGCATATAGGAGAAGAGAGATCCATAGTGCATTTCTGGCAATTGCAACCCCACGTAACTCTCCACGATCCACTGTAGTAGAGATTAATTTGCTCAGACCTTCACAGTAACCAAAATAATGGACATATAAGGGGACAATGAGTCACCTTGTCACAAGCCTCTTTGGGGAATAATTAACATGGCCTACTTCATCTCTATTTACAAGAAATGTATAATCAACAATGGTAACGCTGTTTTCAACCAAAAAAAAAAAAAAAAAAAAAACCAATGGTAACACACTGCATAACTAACTTAATCCACTACTAGCAAAACTCTAACATGCACAACACAACCTCCAAAATTGCCATTTGACACAATCATAGGCCTTGCTCATATCAACCTTAGCTTGCAAGCAACAAAACCATCCCTACCATGTCTTTTAAAATTAAAAAAATTGTGAG